CCCCCCCCTCACAACCCGGCCCCACACCCACCTCCCCTCAGCGCAGCGCGGGAAGACGACGGCGATCACCCCGCATCGACGCTCTGCGCCTGCGCCCGCCGCCCGCCGCTATTGGCTGAGCCGCCCTCGGGTTGTTCACCCTCTCTCATTCCCCCCCCGGGCTCCGCCATCTCAGCGCTGAGGTTCCGTGAGCGGCTGCGGGAGTCTCGACCCTCCGCCTCTGCCGCCGCTCGCCCCGGGGTTCTCCCCCGCGGAGGGTAGGGGGTGAGTATCCCTCCTCCGCTGTCCTCTCCGTTTTTGCGGGCCGGGGATGCGCGGCCGGACCGGGAGTTCAAGGCGGGGACGGTGTGTGCGACGTCCTGTGGTGTCCGGGTTCCCCCCCCCCTCCGGTGGAGCTCTGTGAGGGGGGAACCGCCTCATGGCGGCCCCGCTCTCCGCGCCCTCAGCAGCCCGGTCTCCCCTTCACCCCCCGTGTCTCCCCTCTCCTGAAGCCCATCCCTGCAGGGTATGTGGCCTCATTTGCCCTCGGGCCTCCTCCCTCCCGCTCTGTGCTCAGTCTCCCCCCGGCCTTCCCAGGCACTTCCCTTTTATTCACCATTATCTACCTTCTTTTTTTATTATTTTTACCTGTAACTGCTGCCTGGCCCATAGAGAAAGGTCTGGGGAGGGTGGGGGGTACCAGAGCTTTTATCTTCTCCTGACAAAGGGGTGAGTCCCAGTACGGTTTCCCGGGGCCCCAAATATTTAGGGGGTTTCCTTCTCTCCAACCCTGCAATTAATTCATTTAGCAGGGATATCCCACTGAAATGAATGTTTCTGCTCTTTTAGGAAGGAACCAGCCTCTGCTGGTCATCCCCAGAGAACGTGGTCGCCCTGGCAAGAAGGTGATGGAAAAGCAACATCTTCAACATCCATAGGGTGACTTTGTTGTCAGATATCCCACCAGCATTAAGCTTTATAAACTATGGAAGATCCTAATTAGCCCAATGTGGTGAGATGATCCTGCGTGACTTCTTGTTTTACCTCTGGCCGTTTATATTTTCCTGTGAGTTTTCATGGATTTAGAGACTCAAGTCATGTTTTAAAGCAGGTTTTTTTGCCATAGCATCTGGTCAACGCTGCCTTGGCTAAGCCAGGAAGGGTATCCAGCCTGCATGGACAGGGCAACATTTGCCTGTTCCACTGCCTTTTTTCGTGACTATAACAGTTCGTCTCAGGGTGCGTTCTGTCTCCCCGGAGGTCACGTTGACTTTATTGAAAAAGTAGAATCATTCACTTACTCAGACTTTTTCCGGGATTATTTGATTCCCAACCATCCCTGTATTTTCTCAGCTAAGTTCACTGAAGACTGGGGCAGCAGGAGAAATTGGGTTACTTGGGATGGAAAGCCTAACTTTGATCATCTGCTGCAGAAGTTTGGTAAGTCATGGCATTTTTAATACCTAATTAAAACATGTATGATAAATGACACAGCTTTTTTTAAATCGTAGGGATAGAACCACTGGACAAAACCAAGCAATTCTCCAGACTTTTTTCTAGGTTAATACCTTAATTTTCTATACTTATACTTTTATGTTTTGCAGATTCCAATCTCTCATTTTTTCCCACAATGAAATAAAATTAAAAGTGTTATATAATTTAACCATACCAATTTATATACCTGCTTAACATTAACCAGAGGAGCAGCCTGCCATTTTCCCCAGGCAAGGGGAAGGTATTCTGTAGTTACAGTGAAATACCTCTTGATGCTGTAAAATATTAGTATATTTAACAGGAATCAATACCCCACTTCTAATGTAGTTTAAGAGAAGAATTCAGGTCATGTTAAATAAATAACTTCTGGTCTGAATCATGCTTGCCTAGAATTACAGTGTTGGTAGTGAGAGCTGGGCTAGGGATTGTTGCTTTATGTGTTTGTACTGTATTTAGCATTATAGGGCCCAGATTTTAGAGGCTGCTGCAGTGGATAATGTTAAGGGAGTTCAGTTTCAGTATCAGTTATTCCATCCCCACCTGGTCTCAAAGAGTTTGTATTTCAGGAGAGGCTGTAGTACCTGTTGCCAACTGTGATGTCAAGGAGTACAATTCTAACCCAAAGGAGGAGCTCCCCTTCAAGGAGTATATAAAGTACTGGAAAGAGTACATTAAAAATGACTACCGTTCATCCCGAGGGTGCCTTTATCTAAAGGACTGGCACCTGAGCAGGTAAGAGAACACTGTGGAAACCCTGCGTGCCGTGCACAGCAAAGAACTGCTGTGGAGCCTTAATGCTCATCTTCTAATGCCTGAGCGTTTAAATGCCACCAGTGTTGGTTTTTAGCACCTGCCCACCAAAATATCAGTCTTACACTGAACTGTTCCTTGGGTACTTCACATGACAAGATCCTTAAACATGTCATCATTTCCTGAAGAGGCTGACATTCTTGAGCGCTTTCCTTTTCATCTACGTTTTAAATGACTATATGTTATCCCTGTGGAAACCGTGTGGCTGGAACATTTGGCTTTTGTTTGACTGCTACAGTGCAAACCTTACTTCTTAAAAAGAAGGGGAACATTTCTAATTATGTTTAATTCAGTGAGCATCTGTGAGTTATAATCCTTTATTATCCATTTTCTTTTCTGTTATCCTTCCCTCTCGTTAAAGTTCTCTTCACCCTGTTCTGGCTTTCCTTCTCCTCCAGCCTGCTGCTTGCGAGGTGGATGCATTGTCCATTCCCCATGTCTGTGTAGGACTTTTATGTCTTTTCATTCAAATCTCTTCTTCCTCAAGCGTATCCTGCTCTTCATCCAACTTTCTTGTGATCAGCTCTTGTTTTCATTTTTGAGTGCACTAGTGATTTGCAATAGAGGAAATTTGTCAGTCTCTGCCTCTCTGTTTGTCTGCTTTCCCAGACACCAGTTCTGTGGCTTGCTACAGAAAGTCTGCACTTGCAGCCTAGGATGAGCAGCATAACCTGTGGGAGAAGGCCACACACTTGGCAAAATCCCACAGCCTGGCTTCCCTCCTAACCCTCACACCCCCAACATGTCATCCAGTTGGACAAGCAGTCTCGCAGGCATCTCATCTAAAGAGAATGTGTTTATTAGGAACTGTCTTTGCTGTAATTAGGAGGAGTTTCCCAAATAACAGTTAACCTTTACAGCTTTCCTGGGAAACAGAAAAGCACTATTGTGTGCATTTTGCATGCAACTCAGAGTTGTCATTGATATAAAGGAGATGGCAGCTAAGTATTGGCCTGCTAGAGACCTGATTGGTCTTTGCATCTGGGTTTTGGAACCTGAGGTAGAAGGAGCAACGTTGCATTTTTCTGAGACCCATTTCCAACACGTTATCTTTTTAAGAGCTTTCCCCGAGCAAGATGTGTATACAACCCCTGTGTATTTCTCATCCGACTGGCTGAATGAATACTGGGATGCTATAGCTGTGGATGATTACCGGTTTGTCTACATGGGACCTAAAGGTTCATGGTAAGGCAATGTGGTTTCTGTCATTCTTGCATACTCTTTCTTTAAGATTAATATTACAGGGGTTTATCACATTGTCCTTCAGGATAGCATCATGCTGCAGAGGCAGTGTGGCCTTACTGTACAGTGTTATATCTGAACCCAGCCAGTCTTGTTTCTCAAGCAGCTCATTTGGTTCTGGATGTGAGCTGTCCTTATGCAGTCAGCTAAAGTGCTTTTGCGTTTCAAAAAGCCCTGAATTGTGCACACAAAATCTGCAAAAATTGTCAGCTAGCTTATGTAATAAGGTTTTGGAGCAGAAACTCCCTGGAGATCATCAGCCACTTGTGATTTGCAGAGTCAACAGAAGCCGTGGAGGGGCGCTGATGAGTTGGTCAAATATTTTGCAGGTGAAAATTTTAAATCCAGCGTTGGTGATAAAGTTGCATTTACAGTATTCTCATCAGTTCACATCCCAGAATCTCCTGCCACTGAGCTGTTTGTGGGACAGATTCAAAACTAACTGATGGAGAAGCAGAGAGGATATAAGAGACTGCAATACTATGTAGATATATTAGCCTCTTAATACATAAAACAATCAAAATTAAATTAAGAGGATGACAGTGTGGGATCAGGTTTGCATAGTAGAGGTTGATTCTGTGTGTATGTGTGATTCTCAGAGACTTTAATTCTTCTTACAGCTTTTAGGCGTTGTCTTTACTTAAACCTCTGATTTGCCCCACAGGACTCCATTCCATGCTGATGTCTTCCGTTCCTATAGCTGGTCGGCCAATATATGCGGGAGAAAGAAATGGCTGTTATACCCCGCAGGACAGGAGGAGTATCTGAAAGACCGCCATGGCAACTTGCCCTTCGACGTGACTGCACCTAGTCTTCAGGACAGGAGTGTTTACCCTCGCTACAACCAAAGTCAACCCCCTGTTGAAATTGTGCAGGAAGCAGGGGAGATAGTCTTCATCCCCAGTGGATGGCATCATCAAGTTTACAATCTGGTAAGATAACTGATACCTTTTCATAACGTGGAGAGATAATCAGGCAGCAGGCTTGAATCTGATCAAACTTTTATTGCCACAGCCTGTTGTGGATGCCAAAAGTCTAACTGGGCTGCAAAAAAGTTTAGAGAGATTCACAGACGAAAGGTCTATCAGTGGCTGCTCAAGATGATGGCTAAGAGGAAGCCTGAACTCGTAAGCTCCTTGTTTCATTGACCACTGGAAGCTGGAAGACTGTACAATTGAAGAAGCTGGCTGAACCCTCTTTTCTTATGCTTTTCCTCATTAGATGCTACTAGTCACTGAGAAATAGGATGCTAGGTGAGGTGGACTTATGGTGAAGTTGTTAATCTTGGTTTCTAACTGTAAATTGTAATTTAATAATGGAAAATGCTAGCAAATTGGTCTTCATGATTACAAACCAAAATTAACAAACTTGTTCCTTTCTCCCCACCACCTTCTCCCACCTTTGTAGCGTTAAAAGGTATGCTCAGACAGAGGAACTAGAGACATTTGCTGATTTAGGGTGAAACAAGCTTTGGTTGTCCAGGGACATTAGGAAGAGACAGCCTTTCAACATAATGGTGGTAGTGGTGCCAAAGAAGCATTTCCCTTGCTGAGGAACATGATTTTACGTTTTGTGGCATCAGTGATGTTACAGCTGTTTTCTCGCACTTTCTTGCGTAGACCCTAGTAACCATTTAAATTATTCCTTCAGGAGGATACTATTTCCATTAACCACAACTGGGTGAATGGCTGCAATGTGGCTATAATGTGGTGCTTCCTCCAGGATGAATTAGCAGCTGTCCAGCGGGAAATCAATGAATGGAAGGACCCTATGGATGATTGGCACCTACAATGCCAGGTATAACAACATGATGCTGGCTGCCTGACTCTCTATTAGAGGATCATGTATTTCCAGGGTGCATTTCACCGCCTTGAGATTTCTGAGACACACAAGTCCTTAACCTCATACATGGAATTCATACATGTTTCATATGGAAGTAGGAACTAGTGACAGCTTCATTTTGCAGGAAATCAAGTATTACTTTAGTCAGATAGGGAAAGGCATGTGCCAGTGCATATTTGCTATGTCAACTTCTGCTCTTCAACTATCAAGGTTAGTATTAGCAGCAAGATCAATCCTTTATGTAGTATTTATGTTCCCCTTTATAATTTATAAGTGCTTTTTCATGTAAACAGAAGAACTGGTAAGACAGACCCCACACAGAAGAACTGGTTTGAAGATGATTCATGATAAAACAGTGAATCTGAAACAAGCAAAATTAAGGTGAAGGTGGCAGCAGGTTTCTGTGTCTGCATGTCTGCAAAGTGATGCTTTCAGAACACATAAATACACTGAGCAGTTTTGTATGCTTCCAAAATCTTAAGTATGAAACAAATGTAACGTTTATTTCTGGATGCTGTTACTGCTGCTAGGATGATATCCTTCAAAACAAGTTTCAAAGAACACAGCCATTTAATACTTAGAAGAAACAAGACTGTTGCTTTTGGGGCTAGTGGCATTTCAAGTAAGGTAAAGAATTTTAGTGCCACTGGGGAATTACAGAAATATGCTTACACATGGTTACTAATTCCAGATAGTTACTAGCTTGATAAAATATGCTTTTGTAATTCGTACTGTAAATAAAAGAGAGTTGTTTCCATTTCAATGCAGGTTTTTTTTTTTCCCCTAGTTGATCATGAAGTCTTGCACGGGTATAGACTACAAAGAGTTCTACAACTTCCTCAAAGTTATTGCAGAGAACAGGATTTCTGTCTTGGAAAACGGCCTCGATGATGAAGCTTCGGCAAAGAACACTCCAAAAGCAGCCATTTCCACCTTGGGCATGCTCCATGCAGTGTTTGATTTAAAGAGGACTGTGAAGGTGTTAACATCATTGAGTGCTAATGAAGATTTCAAGAAACTAGACCTGACGTCACTTTCTCCACCTCCGGAGGCATTGCTCCACCACTTGAAAGCAGCAATAGATACAGCACTACTCTAACTTCCTATTTATTCAGTTCTTTGTAAAATGAACCTTTTGCAAAATGGGTGTTTGTAGAAGACTGACTCCTCCCTGTTTAATCACTGTTGCAGTTTTAAGTACAAAGAGCCTTAATATAGAGTGGGGAGAGAGTACGTTCATAGGAAGACTAAGTTGACACCATTTGAGTATCTGGAGTAATCGAACAGGAAAAAAATCTCAGATAAAGGAAAAACCCAAATCATGTTAGTATTATATTATGACCCCTACTACTGAGTGCGCATTCAGGGAAGGGGAATAGAAGTTCTCTGTGGACCAAGCTTAGTTCTGTCAGGGCTAAACACTAAGACTGCAGTGGTCTGCACCATATTCCCTCTGCTTCCAAGAGCACTGTACACAGACAGCAAACCTGTACTGCAGGCTCCAGCAGTTAAGCTCTGCTTTGTCTGGTCACAGCTAAATTACTTTAAGACCTGTCCTGCTTCCAGGTGCAGCTCAGTTCAGTGTTTTGGTTTTGTTTTTTTTTATGTGACCCTAGTTAGTTGGCTTCCATTGAAGCCTGAGCTGGCTGAACAGCTGTAGCCTGGATGTGGAAGAGCTGACTGTACTAGTGTCCTGTACAGTGGTATCTCTCTAAAGGTGAAAGTCTCAGGTAGGGTCAGCTTTCATACTGCTCCAAGGCCTGCAGGATTTAATTTAACATACTAATCAGGAAGCTGGAGTCCTGATTGCAAATTAGTGCAGATAGCAAATCTGCCACTAATAATTAAGCATGTGATCCACCCAAGCTCAAAAGGAGGAACTTGAATGTACTCTTGCATTTCTACACGCTATTTCAAGGCACAGTATTTTATCGAGCAGAGATTTGATTAATCAGGGAAGCTAGCAAGTAGCCTCATATTATCTCCTAAAAAAAGCCATGCTGTTAACACACCAAATAGCACTACTGCATGGTTATATAGCACAATTTGCAACCTGAATGCTCCCCTTGGGCTAAAAGAGTATTTCCAGTGAAGCATGCCTCTTGCTTTTACTGGTTGGTGAGAAAGCCTAGAAGCACAAACGGCTGCACACTGTTACCTTAGTTGCCCCTTTAGGGCTCACTTGAATTATAGCTCAAGAACTTCCTCAATTTTCAACCAGATGACCAGTAAGAGCAACTAATAACCGTATGTTTAGAAAGTACAATAGTAGACATCCTCAGCAGGCTGAAAAATCACATTGTTTTTTAGATAATCCTGTGGAGTTTGTACATGCATGCATTTTGCATGTCCTATTTTCTAGTAGAAGTTCTGCATTTTGAGTAGGAAGTGGTACCTGAAATTAAAATCAATACCCAGAGCGTGGAAGAATGCAGTCTGGAGAAAACAGACCTCTTTTCTTTTTTTTTTTTTTTTTAACAGCTGTGACTACATCTCAGTGATTCAACCTTCTGGCAGGGTGTTTCTTTAGACTGGAAAACTGCCAGTTTTAAGCAACTCTGAAATTAAAAGTTCACAGCTGTTACTTATGTCTGTTTACATTCTCAAAGACAGGCAGCTGGAGCTTTCTTCCTTATATGAATAAGGTGAGATTTCATAGAGGTGAGAAGCAATGGTTTAAAGCTGACAATCAGTGTACTGGTAGGAAAGCATGGTTTTGGTCTTGTATTCCCCAGTCTCACTGCATGCTGTGCAACTGGTATTGGCACCAACCACTTTAAACACTGCAATTTTATAAAGCGCTTGCTTAGATGAACAGTACTTTTCATTTCATGTGTGAAACCAGCAAAAATACAAGTCTAGCTGTTACACCAAGAACCCAGTATCTCAACGTACCCAGGATAGGTTTAGACACTGTACTGTCCGGCAGATTACATCCTCATTTCATGGATGGCATGAGTTTGCTGTGATGCAAAAATCCAGGCAGCAGTTCTTAGGGAAGAGGCATAATTTCTGCAGTTAGTTCCTCTTCCCTGTGGAATAGAGTTAAGGAAGGGAGAAGATAGGCCAACATGGTAGGGAAGGTGGGTCTCAACTACTCACTCTCACTTTCTCTTCACCTGAGCTGTCTCTGCACAACAGCATCTTCAGCTCTGAAGATGTGTAACAGCCATCTTTCATAGGGCCTGCTAATGCTTAATGTGATCAGTGTGAGACAATGGGGTCAAAAATAGTACTTTAATTGCAGGAAATGATCTTAAAGTTTAAGCCATTTTCTCCTTATTGATTTGGCAGGGAACAGAAGCAAAAAAAATTAGTTTTATTGACAGTCTCTCTTACAATTACATTAGGAAACTAATTTGTAGTTCAAATTCTCCGTTCCCACAAGTGATCAAGGCGGTAAGGGAGCCACTTATTTTCTACAGTTAAATAAAGGAAAGCAAATGTTCAAATGCCTGAAGACAGCAGCAAGATTGGAATAAAAATTACACAAGCCTGGAATCTTTTAAAAATTAAACAGCTTTATTTAAATACAAAGTTACTGTAAAACATACGTTAGGATACTCTCATACCAATATATTAACTGTTGTAATCAGTGTACTATTTATTAAAGCATAATACTTGTGATAAACAGGAGGAAACAGCCTGTAGAGTTTTGTTTTGTTTTTCTGAAGTCACAGACCTGGACAATTTAAAGACTGTAATTTAAACTGTAAAAAAAAAAAAAAAGGCAGGTTAAAACTAGTTCAAAAGAGCTTTTGCTCTAAATATGCAGCTCAGACATTACTATTTTTGTCTGATAGGAACAGGATACCAAATATCCATTTGCCTTTTATAAAGGCAGCATAAAACCCAGACCAGTTCTAATCTGATTTGCACCCCACTGGTGTCAGTGGGTGATCTGTCAGCACAAAGCTGTGCACTTAGGAAAAAAAAGTCGTTTTGCAGCTTTCTCAGTGCAGAAGGCCAGGTGGTTTTATGTTTTCTCTCCCCAGGATTCAAGACTTCTCACCCCAGGACAATGTATGTCCTTTTAGGCACACACAAACTCCTGCAGAATTACAAAGCAGCACTAGCATGTTCAAGGTGCAAGTGTGATATCCCTGAGATTTAACAGGAGTCCACAGAGTTTAAAGATACACTTGTAAGTATCATCATAAAACAAGGAAGTTAGTCAATAGCAGCTTTACAATGCAATGGAGAGGTACTGAGTTTGGCATAGGTAAGAAGAGGAATGGAAAAACCTTCCTCTTAGGGATGCAGGAAAAGCCACCTCGGTCCAGGAGCAGGTTGTTTAGGAGCACAGAGACAGCCTCTCCTGTCCATGCCACATTTCTGCCAACCAGAAATAGTCCCACCAAACTAGTTCTCGTGGTTTCATTTGACCATAAAATAACCTCTTCTCCCTTCTGTTGGTTCCCCAGTGCAAAAGAAACACGACATCTGAGAGAACAGTCAAACGAGGTTTCAAGGCAGATTGCTGTTTGCAGGAAAGTGAAATAAAACTGCAGGGTAAAAGAAACCTTGGCCACTCTCCACCAAGAGATTCCCAAACACAAGCTGAGGTTGCGTATTAAAGGCTTTTAGCCCACAGCATCCATATATCTGTGCTTTATGAACACAGCTAGTCTAAGAGAAAAGTCAGCAAGAAACCCTCATCTGATAAATAACCATTCTTCCTTTTTTTAAAGGCAGCCAGAACAGCAGTGACATGATTGCTTCTTCATCCAACAGTGTTTGGTCAAGAAAGTGTGGCAGAGAGGGGGCTCCCTTCGGGTCCTCGGGCTCAGGAGCTGTGAGTAACGTGGCAGTTCTCTCTTTGGTGGAGTCTTATCCTCCGTATGTGTTCGTAGCATGACTGGGCAAAGAACAGAGCAATACATTAAGGAGAAGTTTTGGAACTTTGGGCCAAAATCTGGTCTCTTGTACGCAAAGTGAAGCTATACTGCCCCCAAAGGCAGGATTCGATCTACACATTATAAATGAACAATAAGCATATTCTTTAGACTAGAAGGAAAATAACCTCCTGTGCTAGGCATATAAACAGCCCTCTAAAATTAAATGAGAGTAAAGCACATCAGTATCTACTATTCAAGAAAGGCTACTGCAGCTTGCAACTGTCACTGTTGGAAACATTTCCTTACCTCCAGTGCTGTCAACAGAAAGTCGTACAGTCCTCCTCGATTGGTGGGCTCCATCAAGTCTCTGATCAGATGGATTTCAGCTCCCAGGTGCTGTATTCTAGGAAAAAAAAAAAAAAAGTCACAACTAGAACAAATCTCCTGGCACTGGTGTTTGTGGGTGTGTGTTTGAAATCAGATTATGGAGAAGAGGCACAGATCTGGAAATCCATTGCTGATTCCTTGTGCATTACTTTGATCATCTGGAGGCTGAGTCCTTGAGGTATCCAGCATGACTGGATCTCAGCGAAGATGCTCAATCATGAGAAAATTTAAACTCCTCCATTTTTCACAGTCTTTCTTACTCCCCTCTCTCATCCACAGTTGAGAAAGCTGCCTAGCAAACAAACCTGTATCATCCAACATGACTGCAGGGGAAAAAAAAAAAAAAAAAAAAAAAAGCTTCTGGATTTCATGGCCCCAAGTTTAAACATTTCACCCTTTTTTGGAAACCAGGCATATCCAGGAAGTCAGCCAAGGATTTTGACTCAAATTTGCCAAGAAAAAAAATGTACAGTTTCATTCTACTGGATGTAAGCAGGTTCCTGCAGTTACAGTGAAAGCACCACAGACAGAGCCTCTTTGGCAGAAATGTGTTACGTTTACAGTCATTCCTACACAGGAAAAGTCTAATTACTAGATGGTCAGTGTTCAAGACTTTCCTAGTCTCCAAACTGAATCACAGTGCCCCATTGAGAACAGAAAATAGAAGATGTGCAATATCTAGGCGATGCCTTGGAGGCATCAACAATCGGCCTTCAAAGGCTTCGTGTTCCTGTCTTCTACAGTAACCTGAGATGCAGGCAGGACCACGTTTCCCATGACAACCCTGAATTATCCTCTCGGGTAAGAGATGGACACTCAGGAAGTCTCTAGCCACTTTATATCATGGCCAACACCACCACACCACAGCTGGCAGACAGTAGCACACAGAAACCCCAATACAGCTCAGGAAAAAGCACGTTAAAACACAAACTCCAGTTTTTCATTTAAACTATCTGGCTGGGAAACGTGCCTGTCCTTTCTCCATTTGAGGTATCACACAGCAACAGGCTTGGGAAATGAAAAGCTTCCACTTACTTTGCTCGGGATACAACATACATCAGTAGGGGTAACAGGTCATCCATGGGGAGCTTGTAGTCTTTGTCTACCACCCGGGACACTGTGCTCTCTATCTCTTCATAGGTCTTCTGGAGGATCACCAGCTTTTCCCGGGGATCCACTGTAGTGCTGTCAGTATGAAAACAGCCATGTCAAAGATGCTTCCACTACACAGCTAAAGTGATAAAGCAGCAGAACTAAAAAAAAAAAAAAAAAAAATCAGAGCAGACTGTCATGCTACAAAAAAAGTCCTTCAATCTTCTCAAATGGCTGCACCAAAAAGAAGGCAACAAGGTTGTGCCAAGAGGCATCACCAGGGTGTAACGTCATCCAGATGGACCTTAAGTCTTCCCAAGTCCTGGGTATGACCTGCTCACCCTAGTGTCAGTCTTTCATTTTAGACAGGACTAACCTGAGTCACAGTCCCTCAAATAAAAACTAAAGAGCATGGGATGAATCACTTTGGGCAGTTCTATCAAGGGACTAATATAGTTGTCATATCTGTAAGGTTGGTTCTTCTGCCCATAACAACGGCCGTAACATCTGGCAAAGGTCCACGTAGGCTGTGCTGCCTTCCCCAGAAGAGAAGTCACGTTGGCTTTCATAGGGAGGCTCCCACCAGGACTAGTGTACTTAGGGACCTGAGAGCTCCTGTCTGATGGATCCCACAACACTTCCCTGCTCCCCTTTAACTTCCTTCCCACTCATCACTGCAGTACCATCCCCTAGGCTGGACTTCAAGCCAATAAATCAAGCTGAGCTTCTTAAATTGAGCTCTGCTTTGCTACATTAACATCTTGGGATGCCACACTGGATGTATAACCCTCGTGAACTCCATGTGTCCAGAGAAATGGGCTCTGTCATGACTAGGCAGTCACAGCCAGGCCCAATTTGCTATGCACACTGACATGAGTGAACTCCATTTCATCAAAGTCAGATTTTTTGTAGGAATATCTCCGCAAAATTAAGGGGAGAGATTAGCCAGGGGAGGGTTGCATTTAAACACAATTTATATTGTCTTGATATTTGGGGGGTGGGGGGAAGAATTCTATAGAAGTTACTTTTTCATTTAAACAGAAATAATAACACAAACAACTTTTCTTTAAATAATCTCGCAGGCTGACCCAGAAATGCTTTTGTAAACAGTTGTAAATTTTGGCATTTCCCAGAAAGAGAAAATCCCTGGTTGTCGGTCGGAGGTTATGGACAGTGACTTACATCAGCTTCTGCAAACACTCTGTGGCAGACAGGAAACACTTGTCTTTGATAAGGGACTGCCTCTGGAGGGGAGACAAAGAAAGAGTTGTGTCTCTGTAAGAGCATCTCTGCGAGAGCCACCACATAGCTCCTCAGCACTGGACCCAAAATAAGCATGTTTGCTGCTGCCCATAAAAGAGGGCAAAAGAAAGCTGTTGTAGACAGTGCCACTCTGAACACGCTTGGATGTCTACAGTGCCACTCTGAACACTGATTTCTTCGAAACACCATCGAGCAGAGCATTACAAAGCAATCCTATGCAGAGCTCATATTCCCATCCATGGAAATTCACATGCAATAGCTACAGATCATGACTAATCAACATGTCACGTAGCTCTGATTTCTGAGTACAGTCTGCCCTGTGGTTACTTAGGTGAAGCTCCATCATTAGCTAGCACCGACACACAGCCCCAATGTCATCTCACAAACACACCAAAGCTAGCTCTTAGCGTTATTTCTTACCTGGTTGGTTGTCAGGGTGAGATCTTTCAGAGGCCAGAGGTGTCTGAAAGGAGATTACAGGGAAGATTTAGAAGGCAGATGTCCATGTCTTAACTCCACCCTAAGTCAGTTTTGACTGTTTTTATCTCCTCATTCAAGGTGATGCTGAAGTCTTGCAGGTGCATGAGGCTGAGTTTGCTCCTGTTGTTACACTGCTACAGCAAGAATTAATAGCTTAGACTCATTAACCTGAGTGTAGGGTTCATTTTACTCACAGCTCCTCCTGTAATAATCAATGGAGAGTTTTGGCACTTTCAGATT